GGGGGGGGGGGGGGGGGGGGGGGGGGGGGGGGGGGGGGGGGGGGGGGAGAAGAAAATGGAGGTGAACGACCACAGACAGTCGGTGAGCGTACGCGAGTTCGGTCGCCGCTCTCCCCATTCATTGTGTCGCTCTGTCGTCCACCAACAGTCAGCGCGCGCATCCTCCGATCGGGAGATACCGGTGCACACCCTCCAAATCAATTGAATTCCGTGTGCACGTGGGTAAGACGAGTTGGCCCGAAGAAGGAGGCGGCCGCCGCCGTCGCGGCGAAGGAACGGCAGAGATGAGAAGAGGCGTGGGTGCAACGCGAGGAGGTTGTGCGCGCTAGCATAGCACCCGTCCTGCATGAATTGTGTGTACCAAGAGAGAAAATTCAACTGTGACGCAAACACACGCGCACGGAAGGAATTAACACGCGGTGGTAGAGCTCGATGAGGCTGGTTGTTCGTCGTTTTGCGGTGTGTATCTCTCTCTCTCTCTCTCTCCCTTATTCTATTTGCCCGTCTGTCTTGGCTCTTTCTCTCTTTGCCGCACAGAGCCCACCACACGACCTTTCACTTGTCTTCCCTCGTTTCGTTTCGCAACCGTTTATTGCCCGCTGCTCTCTTCAACGCCCGCAGAACACAGGCTGCAGTACGAACATGACCGGCCAACCTCTCCCCCGCAAGAACATGGGGGAAAGACTGACTCACGTGGACGTAGTGGGTGAAGGGGCAGTCCCCCAAGGCGTTCCCGTCCGCCGCCGCCTTGCAGAAGAGCTCCATGTCCGGCTCAAGCAGGCCCGGTCCCGCCTTCGCCATCTCCTCCTTGGGCGCCTCCTTCTTCTCCTCCTGCCCGGTGCCCGTCGTCGTCGTTCCGCAGTTGTCAAGACAAGCAGAGACGTTGGTTAGCCCCGGAGGAGTCCGGGTTAAGATGTCCTGCTGTACAGCTTTGGTTCAGTGTGTTTTGCTTGGGCTCTTCCGAGTCTAGACGCATCAGCAGCGTGGGCTGCTTGTTCGCGCTTGGAAAAGGACTTGGCAGTAAGTCTACATATGCATCGCTTTTCGACTTTTTTCTATTCATGTTGGATCAACCCTTTCGATGACCCTGCTGCGCTCTCATGATTCCAACCACTTCTGAGGGCAGGCACCCTTGTTCTACAAAAGAGCGCGTCTTCTTCGCCGACGAAGGCGCGGGGAATCAGTTTGTGGGGATGTTTAAGCCGAAAGCAACCATTATATACTAGATTAAAATACAGGCAGGAGTCAAATCGTTATACTGTAAACAGTGGAGGAAGCCGAATCAAACCGGACTAGGTTAGAAGCCGAAATCAACCGCTCGTCTAAACAGCAAGCGCTGACTAGTCATAAGGTTTCATTTCCGCTTCTACAGGTACCAACCCTGACCGCGCCCAACCACAACCTGTCGTGGGGGGGGGGACCCTCCCCCTCCCTTTGCACTTTTCTTGTACCTTGATCATTTCCCCCGACTTCATGTCGACGGTGATGGACGTGGGCCCCGAGTCGTCGTTCAATGCCTTCTTGCTCAGCACGAACTTGCCGGTTTTTCGCATGGACAGGTCGCCCCTCCTCGCCACCGCGCGATGCCGGACCGACGATGCCCGTGAGGTCGCCGCGATCTACCATGATGACCCCGAGCAGGGAGTGCAGCATCGGCGGCGGCGGCAGCAGTAATTGGGTAGTTTAGACCATGACGTGTGGGGGGGGGGTGACAGGCGTAAACGCTTTCAACGTAAAGTCGGTCGGACAACGAACACCTCAAAGGAACATGCAGGTTGCACCAAACGAGGCTGCGCTGTTGTAGTGTATCCAAACGATAGCCGTAGCTTGTACACCAACTGCGGCGGTGCTTGTCTCGATCCGCGACCTTTCGCCCCATAATAACTGCTGTACTCACTACTGCTGTCCGTCGCCCGTCGCAATCACCTTACAGTTGTCCTCAAACATTTTCAGTGTACACATCGCACCATGTGTTTCCAGACCAAACAAAAAAGGCTCTCTACTCAAGACAGTCATCAAGGGGATGCTCTCAAGCTTTCCGAGTAAAGGCGGCAGGGGTTTAGTTATACTCGTGCTGCTGTCCACCGGAGGTTGCACAAGATACCACACTCCCTTTGTTCGCAGCTCGACCACTCTGCAGCAAAAACAGCAGTGGTGATGCCGAAAACGGCGGCATTGGAACCGTCTTCGCCGAGAGCTTTTTCGAAAGGGTATATTTGATAGTGGATTGCTCCTCGTTGTGGAGTACAGCGGGGTTTGAAAATCGGTCCAGGTGTAACCTAAACAACATGCTTTCAGCGTGACTTTTGCGCTGTGTGAGACCGGACATAATATTGAACAAATACAAACACAAGTGGTGAGAACCTCGCCGCTCACGTTTGAGGGTACTATCGGAGCGAGGCAGGCTAGCGAGGAAGCACACCACATAACACCAGCAAGGCAGTCAGTCATACGTAATCGAGGGCTGCTTTGCGGGCGAACGTACGTACGTGAGGCATGACGGACATCTCCGAAGTTGCCGCTGCTGTGGACGAAACCATCACGAGGACTCACCGATACACGGTATCGCCTTCGTAGCTCAGAGACATCTCGGTGAGGTCAGCAAGCAGTAGACGAGAGCTAGCTGGACGACAGCACACAACAACATCCAGCCCCTCGTGTCTTGGGTCAGAACGCAGTACCCTGTCGCTGGGTCGAGGGACATGATCTACGCATGCTGCATAGGCAAGGACACACATACCTGGGCTCCAGGCGTTCTCGTGACGATGGGACTCACGAATCCACGTGCGGGTGCTAGCAAAGCAAGGCAGGAAGCTACGACTGTGGGAGAGACCATTGTGAAAAATTGGTTGTTGTAAGAGGTCAGCAAGCACCCACAAGCACACACACGTAGGCACACAAGATACCGGGGGGGGGCTCTCCCGACAACAACCCCGGGTTTCCGGCGTAGGCGGGCACCCTCATCGTGCGCCCCCCCTCACCACTACATACCTACTGCTGCAATATACAGCACACCTGCCACCACAGGTACTGCTGTATGTATTGCTCTGCAGCAAATCCAGACAGTTCTTGAGGACAGTTGTTCACCTGGACTTTCAGCGAAATCCTCGTCATCTTTGATACTGCTGCATCTCTCCCATCCTGGTGTATTATTGCACAGAATCTGAAGAGATCAACAACAGCTGTCGTCAGGAATCTCTGGAGCAGTGTGCAATGCAACACAGCAGAAGATTCGGGTACGCACCGTACAATAAAGTATATGTTACGCGCTACTTGTACACAGACCCGGTCAATAAGCAACACATAACTTTGCTACATACACAGACCCGCTGCTGTGCTAAATAAACACTGCCCTCGTTTACGGTCGATACACCATCAATGTCTTCCAGGTACGGATGGGCGGCCGGTCGCCCCGGCGGTCTAGATGGTATCCTCGAAACCTTCTATTATTATTTAGATAGAGGTCAGGTGGGGGTTCGAATCCCGGCGTAAACGAGCTTTTCTTGCGAAGTGAGTTTTTCTCTCGCTTCCGCTCCAGGCGTAGTGGATAGCGCTAGTTCGTGTGTACATAGAGGGAAGAGAGTGCTGAACTCTTCTCGCGTTAAGAATCGAAGGCAAAGTACCGCAGGAGGGGAGGGTAGAGAGGCGCTCTTCTGTGTGCCACGGGTTGAAGTGAATGGCACTACATAGTGCTGTGAGCGCCATTTTCAAGTGAAGACAAAACATAAAAGAAAGCGTAAGAAATGGCAAACTGGGCGCTTGAACGGCTCCACAACGTCTTGATACTCGCACACAGAACACAACACAACACAGGAGCTTCGTGTTCTCTCTAGGAGCTTCCTGTTGTCTCTCTTCCGCCGCTGTCCACTGTCCACATCATATCCATAACCTAAAAAACAATACATTGAAGACAAATACAACGGACCGAAGAACGAACATCTTGCGCAAGAGAGAGAAGAGGCAGGAGGCACCCATCACGAAAAAAATCCTTTCGCGACAAGTACAGCATGTGTGTCACCATCCCCCTATTATGAACGTGTTTCTGCTTCCTTGTCTGACAACCGCGACGGCCCAAACGTGCAAAAGCATGTGTCTGTTTCGCCACGGCCGCTGCTGCATAAACCCTACGCTGATAAAAAAAGCTGCCTAAACCCACAAATTGCATGTCTGGCGCTTCGTCGCCTCGATAGCAGCACCCCCCCGAACGCCACCTCAGACTAGTCTCACGACACACCTCCAGCGAAACCGAAGGATGTTCGCGAGGCGGGCAGGCCACACACCCTAGAATACGAAATATAGGACCATTTTCATACGATGAGAGCCGACTCGTGCACACAAACTTCAAGGAATAACCTCCTAACAAAAAACATGGTACATACAGTACAGAGGACACAAGGCTAATAGTGGCATGGTAGATAGCAGCAGGCAGCAGGCCTGGAGCGCAGCTCTGATAGTAGGAAGCAAGGCTTCCTCTTAAAGACCCTCGCCTAAGCTTTGACCTAGGCTTGCAGCCAGAAACACAATGGGCACCCGCTTGATTCCGCTGCTCTAGCGCCGACTGTGAACTCGATAGCAACGACCCCCACCCCGTAACACTACCGATCATTGGTGTGCGACAGCAAATCACGCCAGCCAGTTGGCGCGCACGACAGCAGGAGCAAATAAGGCCTCCGCCGTACCCACGACAGCCGCCCCAGCCCTTTTGGAGATCATACAGTGGCCCGAACGTAACATGACCCCCCCCCCCCCATTGCAGCGGTGGCTGAGCGTAGCTGCGAGGCCCATGGCCCTCATACGACCTATCTCCAGTACCTCTCCTCGCCCCCTCCGCCGCGTAGCAAATCTTCCCTGGTCCATGCACGAACTCTGGGCTAAGCCTCCTTGAGCCCGCGGCAAAGGAGGGTGGGCTCAACTCAGGACACATTTCGTCTGCAGATCAGGTCGCTGTGGCACCAACGTTTTTCGTTCCCTCCGCGACACCTCCCTCTCGCTACCCCCTTCTCTCCATATGCATGCCCCCCTCTACGTTCGCATGCTTCCCCATCCCTCCCAGCACCGACTACAGTCGAAATGCCGAAAATCCCACAGCACCGAGTCGGGAACAAGGCTTTGCGTCTCAAACACACCCTCCGCTCGGAACCCCCGCCCCCCTTGCCGTACACGAACCCTCGAAGATGAAAGAAAATACAGGGCGCCGCCGGTGCCCCCCCCGTCTCTACCCCGCCGCCGCCGCCGCCACCGCTGGCCCTTGAGCTAGTTGCCCAGCAAGTCGGTCTTATCGAGGTCGTCGAAAAACGCGTGTTCTAATGCGCGCTTGGCTGAGATTCGCTTCTTCGGGTCGTAGTACAGCAATTTCTGCGGCAAGACACGACACACATGATGGCGACGACGATGACAAGCAGGAAGGTCAACGAGGGGCGGGGGGGGGGGGGGGGGGGGG